TCAATCCTGACCTAAGGGATCCTCCTACCTCTGGGAAGAGTGCTAGGATTACAGGTGTGAGCCACTGCGCAGAGCCTGATTTTTATCTTTTTTTTTTTTTTTTCATTGATAAATCAAAGTTTTTAGTTCTTTATCTTTAGTGTTAGGAAATTTGAGATGGACTCAGAGTATTTTGAATTTGACAATAAATGAAAACTTTTCAGAGGTCTCTTTTTTTTTCCTTTTACATTTTTAGTCTCATGAATTTGGTTGTATTTAGCTAGCGACAGATAGGTTTATGTTGGGGAAAAGTTAAAGTTTTTTTTCACTTCTGTAATTTTAACAATTTTACAGCCTAAGATTAAGGATCAACCAGAAAGTAAAATTCTAAAGATGGGAACTTTTAGAGATAATACAGAGGATCCAAAAGAAATAATTAAGTACTTCATTGGAGGGCAAAACTTAGAAAAAACATTATAACCATGTGGTTATCTTTTATCCAATCATGATGCTCCATTCTGAGATCAACTGTCTAATGGGTCTTGCGCATCTTTGGTAGCTGGTTTTTTTATATTTTATATGATTCAATATTTGTATATACCAAAGGGAATGAGTTTGTCTTCCTAAAGTTTGACAGTAATTCTGTTCTTTTATGGATTAAAAAATGCTTAGGATTTTTCCTCAAAAAAAAAAAAGGCTTGCCTTACCATATGATCTAGCAGTTCTGCCTACCATATGATCCAGACCAACCTGAGCAAGAGTGAGACACTGTCTCTACTAGAAACACAAAAAATTAGCCGGGCATGGTGGTGAGCGCCTGTAGTCCCATCTACTCAGGAGGCTGAGGCAGGAGGATTGCTTCAGCCCAGGAGTTTAAGGTTGCTGTGAGCTAGGCTGACACCACAGCACTCTAGCCTTGGCAACAGAGTGAGACTCTGTCTCAAACACAAACAAACAAACAAACAAAAAACAAAGTAGATTGTGAAGCACTGGTTCTCAATATGGGGCCAAGTGTAAAATGCTAATCATCAGTGTATATTCACCATGACCCATAGCCCCATTTTAACACTATTCTTTTATTTAAATACCGTATGATTTTCATTATGTTGAAAGGGGTTTTGATTCAAAAAAATTTAAAGTATTACAATGATGAAGAGATTACAGAATTGTATACAGACCAATATTCAAAAATGCAAAATATATTTTTATATCTTCTAATATCATACATTCTTATAAAAATCATTTTAATTTTATATCTTATTAAAAATGACTTTAGTAAAAACTTAGTGATAATTTTAATAAAATGTATTCTAGAATAAATTACACATTTCTAAACTTTTTAAAGGAGTATACAGGGAATGCAATCTTAATTTTACTTAGATGTGCAGGGATATTGGTACCTATACTAAATGACCCTACAAATATGAATGAATGCTAAAGACTGCATGCCTCCAACATACCTCCTTCCTATCCATAGCAAGATGGATAGGAAGTGGCATTGGCTTATAATCACTGTACCAAAAAAGTGTGATTTTATGGTATACAAATTATACCTCATTAAGCTCTTAATAAAAAAGGCAAAGATGTGTATAAAAGTGTATTAAATTATGCGATCAATAAATTTAATTCTTAACATTTTAGTGTGCTGGTTAGTAGCATTAAGTTGACATTGTTGTGCAATCAATCCCAGAACTCCTTTCTCTTGCAGAACTGAACTCTGTACCCATTAAACCAGGGGTCTCAAACTTTTAAACAGGGGGCTAGTTCACTGTCTCTCAGACGTTGGAGGGCCGGACTATAGTTTTAAAAAACTATGAACAAATTCTATGGCACTGCACATCTTATTTTGAAGTAAAAAACAATGGCAAACCCACATGTTCTGCGGGCGTAGTTATTAGGACGCCTGCATTAACAATAAGTCCCATTTCCCCTTTCCCAGCCCTGGCAACAATGGTCATATGGTGGCAGAACTGCTAGTATATGTAAGCCTAAGCATTTTTTTTTTTTAGGGAAAATCTAAGCATTTTTTAATCTCATAAAATGAACAGAATATACTGTCAAACTTTAGGAAGACAACTCTATTCCTTTGGTATATACAAATGGATTAATCATATAAATAAAAAAAAACAGCTACCAAAGATGGCAAAGATCCCATTAGACAGTTGATCTCAGAATGGAGCATCATGATGTGGTATAAAGATAACCACATGGTTATAATTTTTTTCTAAGTTTTGCCCTCAATGAAGTACTTAATTATTTTTTTTTGGTATCCTCTGTATTATCTCTAAAAGTTCATCTTTAGAATTCTTCTTTCTGGTTTGATCTTAACTTAGGCTGTAAAATTGTTAAAATTACAGAAGTGAAAAAAAACTTTAACTTTTCCCCAACATAAACCTATTCTGTGCTAGCTAAATACAACCAAATTCATGAGACTAAAAATGTAAAAGGGAAAATGAGACCTCTGAAAAGTTTATTCTATTTTATGTCAAATTCAATACCTCTGAGTCATCTCATTTCCTAACACTAAAGTAAGAATAAAAAACTTTGATTTATCAATG